TACAACAGGGAGCTGGCGGCAACGTCCTCCTCTTCCCCGGATACCGGCCCAATATCAACAATGTGCGTGTTGTCCGTCAGCCAAAGATGGAGTTCACTCTTTCCATTGACCTTCTTGGCATACACTGGCAGGGTGGCGAGCATCACATTTTTATCAATCGTCGCCGTGGTGAATCCGCTTCTAACGCCCTTCTCAGATCCCTCGTGTTTGTTGCCCCACACGCGCGAGAGTGTCCCGAGTGCCTCCGTCCACGACTCTCCCTTGTCACCGGACTCGTGCACCCTGCGGCGGCCATCATCACACGCAGTCATCATCATGAGTTTGTCCTTCTCCCACTTCACGACGGAGGGATCACCGCAGCCGTCGGCAGACATCCACTTCGACAGCTTCCAACTCTGAGTGGCTGAGGAGTATATGAGCAGTGAGACAGTCTTTCCATCGTTTTCTGTGTCACTCACCTTCCTCTTTTTACCTTCCATAGGGAACACAAGCGTACCGTCCTCCATCTTAACGCCCGATCCACCGCCGCCAAACGGCACTGTCACATATTTCTTTGGCTGGATATTAGAAATGGTCGGGAGAGTGTCAATATCATTCCAACTTATTCTTTTTTCATTGTTCTCGCCACTGACTTTCCCTCTCGCCAGCAAAAGCCCCAATTCATATCCTTCAGTCTTCCCAGCCGTATCGGTAGTACCTTCAAGGCCGTAGATTCCAGCAAGCATGTAAATATCACTTCCCTCCACAATTGTTGTGGGTCGATCCACACTTACTCCCGTTACGCTTTGGGAACCAGTACGATCAGCGTTTTGGAGGGAGCATTTCTCTTTTTTGGAAGAACATTCCTCCAGCACTTGTGTCTTCACTTGAGCCGTATCCAACTCTTTTCTTTCTTGATCGGTCAACGTCAGAAGCTCCGAGGCAATCCCATTAAAACGGCTCATATCCTTCTTCCTGCCCTTCGCCCCGGCAACGGCAAACACATCACCATCCACCTCCACAATACTGGGAACACGGAGCGCATCCACTGTTTCGTTTCCTGTTTTTTCCACATCTCTCCAAAAAAACAATTTGCCCTTTGAAGATCCCTGCCCTGACGGCGTCACCCCACTGGATGCAGCCCCACCAGTGTTGCAGCACATCATCACGACGAGGAGGATCAGCACCGCAGAATAGAAGTGTTGCCGGGACATGTTGGGCCTCTGCGGCTCACTCTCTCTCCCTTCCCTCCTC